ACACACACACACACACACACACACACACACACACACACACACGTATCTAACAACGGCCCTGTTTAAGTGTCTACGACTGGCTTTTCTGATCGCTTGCACGACACAGACGAGTGTGTGTCGTCATTCTTGTCAAGTACAGGTAGGCCCCACGAGTACCATTTTGAACAAAACAAGCAGCGACATGTCAGCTGACCTCTCCCCAAACGTGGATCCATTTCCGAGCCACTGTCAATTTCAAGTCTGACTGCACCGCGTTGTGAAATATCGGATGGGAACAAATAATCGGCTGTCATGCTACTATCAGTGAACGTGAGCTGCACGGACATGTGCTGCACTGCGGTGCCGCCTCTACATGTTCCCGCTATGATTTGCTCGCACATGCAGTACACACACGCCTCTGGCAAATGATAATTCACAGCATGCATATAACCATAGAGCGAACAATGCAAATTCTAACCGTGGGGTCGCATCCAGGGGAACATGAGGCTGGGAGAGGAGTTTTGGTTCAAGTGGCCCTGTCCGTCTCCGTGGTTGGAGCCCGCCGACGATTTACAGTCCGGGTACTGCGCCAAGCTCGCCTCTTGCTGGCTGCCGTACAGCGTTTGCCTCGGCAGGGCTTCGTATCCGTAGAACTTGCCGGCGTCGCCGTGGCACGCCAGGGCGCACGGGTTCTGCTGGTAGCCCGGGTTGGAGATGCCCGCGGTGCCGTGGTGGAAAAAGTCCTGCACATGGTGGGACGGGTGCTGGAAGCCGGGCGCCGCCGCCCCGGCTCCGTAGACCAGCGTGTGGCTGCGGGCGACGCTCTGTGGGAACCGGCAGTCGTAGTAAGTCGGCTCCAGGGACTCGCCGCCCTTGTACTTGGAGAAAAGAGGGTTGACAAAATAGGAGCTCATGTTGGTTTGGGCATCCAGCGGTGCGCCTCGCTCTCGCTCGCTCCTTAATTCGCTTCGGGCTTTCTCTCGCGGCCGCGGAAGATCTCGGCCAGGTTGACGGCAGCCTTTTGTTTGGGCTCCCGACTCGCACACACGAAGGCAGACAAAACCGGAACGGGAGGAACGATGCCCCTTTGGACAATCACTAGCGCCGACCTTCCGCTCTCATCGAATCGTTCCCTGCGTGGGCTGCCGCTGCTCCCGCTGCTGCCGCTGATGCCGCCGCCGCGTGTTCTTGTTTTTCCGCCCCGGCTTTTTGCAGGCTCAAGACCGGCTCATGGCATGTGCGCGTCTTGTCTAAACTTAAAGCTTGGCGTGCTTCACCAGCACAGTCACAGACGCTCTTTTTTTCCTTTTTCCTTTTTTTAGCTTACCGCCCCCACCGCAGGCGCCCCCTCCCCTCGTCCTCCCCCTCCCATCCCCTTCCCCTTCATCTTTTCCATAGCGGTCAGACATGGGGCCCGATATGCACACCTCGAGAGGAGCTGCCTGCAATCAGCAATGTGTGATCTCCTCATCAGCGGAGGACATTTTAAAACAATCCGAAATTTAGTGGCTTTTAGCTAGGGCCCCTAAATAAAGGCTTGGAGGTGCATCCCCTCATCCTGGCCAGTGGCTGATGAAACGCCATCTTAGCGTTATATACTTGACCTGCGGTGATAGGCTGCTGCAGTGAACAACGAGAACAATCATAACGACACTGTTCAAAAGCATTATGAACACAAAAGACATCAACAAAACCCAGGCACTGCGAGGAAATGATGCACCGAAAGTGCATCGCGCCACATAGCAACACGATTCAGAAGCAAATATAAACCAAGGACACACAAACTAACACAACACGACCCAGAACGCCACCACCAACAGCCACAATCTCCACTAAGTGTGCGAACACAACCAACAACCCTTGATATATATATATATA